AGATGGGTTAATTTGGCAAATAGCAAAATTTAAAATGATAACTAGTATATTAATTATGTAATAAATATAATAAAGAGACTAACCATGACAAAAATCATTGGATAAAATTGCCCTTCCGACGTTAATCTTGACACATGTGAATAGAGGTGGTGAAAATAGGTGATGTCACCCAGTTGAGTAAAAGTTGCAGGAAAATATAAAATGAATTTTACACCGATTACCATTTTTAGGCTAATTTCTTAAAAAACATGTCATAAATCTGATGCCTTGTTAAAATTGCCACAAATCAAAATCTGAGGTAGCTGGAATAACTGTTTTGTCTTTCTAATTTATTTATACCATTATGACATTAGTATATGGTTTTGTCCACCACCACTACCACTTGTCCACCGTCTCCCGTTACTGTTTCTGTTTTCGTCTTCCATCACAAACACCGTCTCTGTCATCGTCTTCCGTCGCTGTCTCCGTTTACGTCGTCCGTCACTGTCTCCGTCCTCCGTCGCAGCCACCGTCCCGTTACCGTCCTCTATCATTGTCTGCGTTTACATCCTCCGTCACTGTCTCCGTTTTTGTCCTCCGTCGAAACCACCATTTCTGTCACCGTCTTCCGTCACTGTTTCCGTTTACGTCCTCCGTCATTGTCTCCGTTTTCGTCATCCGTCACAACTACTGTTTTCGTCCATCACTGTCGTCTCCGTTTTCGTCCACAGTCTGCATTACCGTCTTTATCACCGTCTCGTTTCCATCAACGACCACCACCATCTACCATCTTTAAAGAAAACCACAATATTCAAAGAGAGAGAAGAAGAAAATTGGTTTTCCAAAAAAAAGAAAGAGATAGAAAATGTATCGTAGAAAAGTTATAGGGCAAATAAGTTTTTTTGCATTCACTAGAAGACAAAATTGTGATAATTTTTGTAAGCCATTTAAATAATGGCATAGTTTACAAAGATTTTTGAAATTATGGCAATTGCCATAATTGCCATAATTTTCACAATATAAAATATATGGATCTTACTTCTTTAAAAACAAACGAATGATTGAAGATTGTGAAAACTGTATCTCTCCGATTAGCTCCGATCTAAGACTTTATCGGATTCTTGATTCGATTCGAACCTAAACCTAATCGCTTGCAAAGAATCGCTTGAGCATAAAAGTAAAGACACGATCACTCGAGTTCCGGGCTTAGTATCAGCACCCTAGGCTCACCGGAATCCACTAGTTAATACGACGGAAACTCGTCGTAACAGATCGGCTTCTCTCTCTCGCTCTAACAACTTTCTCTCTTTTCTCTAATGAAAAACAGATCAGGAAGAAAGAAGCAGATCAAAGGCTTATAACAATGCCTTGTACATGTATTATAATATGAGAGAGACTCTAATTTAACTAGTGGATTTTATCTAGAGAACCCTCTCAATGCAATAGAGTCTCTACCACACTTAGCTTATTCTTTATTTACCAGCTTGTGTATTGACTTGCTTGAAGCTTACATAAACTTGAGCTTCTCCATACTTCAAGTTAACTTCTGCTAGCTTGCTTCACTTGATCTTTGTCTACATTCTTCAAAGATAAAAATAGAGTTGTAGTTGCTAAAAAAAAGAAAAAGGAATGAGTAGTAGTAAATGTGTAAATCTGAGGTTTATTGTTCTATATTATGTAAAACAATGTAACTATGTCATATAGTGTAGATCTGGCAAAATCCCACATCTTCTCATTAAGGATATTTTTGTCACATCTACACATTATATATTGATCAGCACAATGAAATTAGTTATTCAATAAATTATAATTTTTGTGTGTGTTATTTGTGCTAATATCCCAATCCTCTATATATTAAAGAAAAAATATTTTTAGATTAATTTGCTTAGGAGTCA